GGTTCTATGGGTATCTGCTCCTTCAAGGTACAGCCTATAGGCTTAGGAATGGAGGAAGCTGGTCTTAACTTCTTCCAATTGTTGTTGTTGTTGTTGTTATGTGCCCTCAAGTCAGCCCTGACTCATAGCGACCCCTCCTTGGGTTTCCGAGGCAGTATCACTACGGAAGTAGGATTGCCCAACCTTCCAATTAGGGGGGCAAAAAGGTCATGTGACACATTTTGGCAAATAAAGAATGAGGAAAGATTTACTGGGGCCTTCTGGAAATATTTTTCTTTGTTCTTACACAGTTTCTAGAAGCAATACTTTCTTTTCCTGGAATTATTGTTCTAACAGAGGTCTAGCATTCCTGCAGCTATCTTACTTTCAGAGGATGAAGTTCATGCACAAAGGAGGCAAAGACAAGAGGAGAGCTGGGAAATGGAGAGGGGACCTATGGCCGAATCAACCCTGAAGCTTGCTCTACCTCCATATTTCCAGTTTCAGAGTCAAAATACTTTTTTTTTGTTATTGGTTAAGCCAATTTGAATCTATTGTTACTCGCAGTTGAAGTCACCCTAATTACCTTACAGAAGAGAAAATGTAAAAGAAACACTGAAAATCAAGTGCTATAAGATAATATAGTCTTATTATTATCTTGAAAAAAAATCACTATTCATAAGAATAATACTTCTTTTAGTTTTATGATGAAGCCAGAATCATCTTTGAGTGGTACTTCATAGGGTTATAGAGTTTGGTGTTTGAATCTTGTTGATAATAAATATCCTTGCTAAGTGGTTATGTAATGCATGCATGGATTCTCCCAGTAACAAAGAAATCACTACCTCCCAAGGCAGAGATGATGATTTCATCACTCATCACATATGGTGTGGATATCCTAGGTAGCCCATTTTTGCACTTATATTGTATTGAGCTCATCTTCTGCCAGAGAGAAAGCACTGAAAATCTGGGGAGGTGAACTCATTGCTATATTAGACTTCATTTTTGCCACATGGAAATAGTTGAGCTCAAACAATGCAACCTGACCTGCAGCTGTGATCTGGCTGTGCCTCTTCCCTCTCTTTGATAGTACTCCCTCTGCAGGGACCTAAGGATGGCCAAAGCGGCTCTCTGGAAGGACAATAGCTATTTGTGTTGTCTGAATCTGAGGTAAGCTCCTCCACAGTGATTCATGGCAGCTTTCTTGTGCAATTTTTAGTTTGGAGATGATTTGTTTCAGAGTTCAGCCTGTCACTTTCTGACCTGGGAAGCTGGACTCATTGTAGCAGAGAGCAGACAGCATTAAGGGGAAAGCACAAGACAAAGGGAAAAATGATAAGTTCAAAGTTGGTCCTTTTGCTCCAAAAGGGAAGATATTTTTGTCTTTTTCTCTCTCCAAGTACCACACCAGGCAGTCATAGCTTATACATATGTTGGACACAGTGGAGTCTTAACCTTAGACCTCTCTCCCTATTTGTGACCTATTTTGTACCTGACTTAAAGGCTGTGGCCATTGCTGTGCTGTGTATCTGCCGCATGACTCCTGCACCCACCATTACCTGATGCCAATCAAAGGCCCTGTGGCAGACTCTGATGCTCCACCCAAGATCTCCTTCAGAAGTGAAGGACTTATACCCCTAGCTGCTGGAAGTGCTTCCATCAGTTCCATCCAGTTACCAGCCTTCTGTGGAAATTGCCTTGGCTGAAGAGAGTCCTCTAGTGCAAGGTGAGATTTGCTTCCTGGGGCAAATTCTATTCAGTGACTGATCAACATGACATAATGCCAATGTCCTCTTGCCCCAACCTGGGACAACTCTGTA